GCGGGGGCTGGCCTGGCCGGGGCAGAGGGGGCAGGGCGTGCCCATAGAGGAGCTGCTCACTCGGAGGAACTCATCAAAGCGCTGGGGGTCCCCACAAAGCTGGGACAGGTAGTAGACGAAGCAGTAGCCTTTCTCGTAGGTGAACAGGTTCATCAGGTGGCTGGGGTTCACCCCTGAAACAACACCTGGCTCTGGGTGACGCCCCATTTTCTTTGTCCCAGGGGATGGGGTGGGGGGTGGTCAGGTGAGTGGAGCAGGAAGAGCCAAGGGCTACTGTCCCGCGCATGTCCAGGAACCCTGGGAGTGAGGTGATGGGGCCTGCCCTGCCCGAGGGCCCACCCCCCACAGGGCCCACCCCCCACAGTGACGGCTCAGATGAGAGGTGGCCGCGGCTAAGGGAGCCTGGGGGCCCGCCTGGGGCTGGGGGTGCCTGGCCTGGCCTTTGCAGGGTCCCAGCCGTGGTGGAGACGGTGCGGGGGAGTGCGTACCTGGCTCCAGCTTGACCTGCAGCTTGCTGACCGGGCTGTCCTCCCCGAGGAGCTTCATCTGCCTGTGCAGGGCGTCCAGGCGGAAGGCCGTCTCTAGACAGGTGAAGGCAGCACCTGGACGGGGCAGGAAGGAGCAGGGGACAGGCCTGAGCACCGGGGGCAGGAACGAGCCTCGGGGACTGACCCAAAGCCGCCTCACTGGACACGTGCACAGCAGGGGTTCGCACCCGGGGCCGGGCCGGGCTCTCGGCCTCTCGCACGGTGGGTGCCAGGGTGGCCCGGTGTGCAGGAGGCCATGGCGGTGCCCCCTCCTGTCCCGGGCCACCACGGGAGGTACCGTAGGTCTCGGTGGTGATGCGGCGCTGGGCGTAGGTGGCCAGGCCCTCGCTCAGCCACATCTCCTCCCACGTGGCGTTGGTGACCGCATTGCCAAACCAGCTGTGGGCCACCTCGTGGATGACGTCGATGACCAGGAACTCGTCGCTCTCCAGGATGGAGGAGATGATGAAGGTGAGGCAGGGGTTCTCCATGGCCACGATGGGGAAGGAGGGCGGCAAGAAGACGATGTCGTACCTGCCGCGGGGGGGGTGGTGCAGGCCTGGGCTGTGAGCCTCGCCTCCTCCATGGGAGGCCAAGACCCCGCCGTAGCTCCTGGTGGGGGGGTTCTCCCTCTGACCCCGGTGGCCGACCGCAGCTCCCAGGACATACCTGCCCCACACGTACGGCCCGTACAGCCGCTCGGCCGCGCTCAGCCACTGCTCTACGGCGCCCGACAGCTTGCTGGTGGCTGTGGGCAGGAGGCATGGCTCGGCCCACACACGGCTCCTGTCACAGGCGGAGGGGGCGCTGAGTCTCGCCCGACCACGCTCACCCTCCTGCTCACCTCCCCTCTGCTCGGGGCTTAGCTGCCGCCCATGCCTTGCTGGCGCCTCATGGGAGGACCACCACGCGGCTGGCCCTCCCGCCCTGTGGCTGAGCCCACGCAGAGGGGCTGAGGGGGCGTCAGGCGGTGGTGCGGCCCCGGCCGGCCAGGCTGCAGGAGGGCACAGGGCCGGTGGGAGCGGGGGCCACTGGCCGGGGCGTGCGGGGTGAGAGAGGCCAGGCGGGGACAGCCCCAGGCCGTGGCAACAAGGCAGGGTCCCGGCTGGCGCACGCTGCGGGGATCCATGCAGGCCGCATGCCAGCCAGTGACGGGGTGTCCCTGGGCCTGGGCCCCAGGCAGCAGCAGCGGCTGCAGGAAGCAAGAGGCGGGGGCTCTACCTGGGCCCAATGTCTGCCGGCTGCAGGTCCCCGGCCACCAGGGCCACGAGGTAGGCGGGCACGGGGTGCTCCATGTGGAAGCGATAGACGCCCTCCTCCTCCACGTAGGTGCTCCGCGTGGCACTCATCAGCACCTGCACCCCCGACGGGGCCTGCACGCGGGGAGGCCTCGCCGTCAGGCACCTGTGTCCTTGTGGGGAACCCCGTGACCCCATCACGGAGCCCCACATCCCAAAAGGACACCCCAGAACCCAGGTCAGGGCACCCCATGTCCTTGATGGGACCCCCATGCTTGCTGTCAGGGTATCCCATTTCCATGATAGGGCACCCCACATCCCTGTCAAGGAAACTGTCTCCCCCATCAGGGGCCTCCCATGCTAAGCCCCGTCTGCCGCCCGCAGGCCCAGCACGTGACTGGCCACTCCGCTGGGCCCCGCCTTCTCGGGGTCCTAAGCCCATCCCAGGACCAGGACCCCAACTGGCACGGGTCCCCCTGCAGGGCAGCGCCTCCCCCACAGCAAGGAGCAGAGGGCCCCTTCTGGGTGGTGGTTGCATGAGGGGGAGGGCCAGGCGGTGAGCGCTGACCTTGACAACGGCCGAGTAGGTGCACTTGACAGCGGGCGTATCGAAGCACGGGAAGAAGGAGCGGTTGCAGACAGAGTGGCCTTGGGTGAAGACGAAGGGCTTGGCGCTGCCGTAGGTCAGCTCGGGGTCCAGCCACCAGATCTGCGGACGGGCGACAGGCAGGTCTCAGCAGCAGCCCCCCGCCCCGTAACACTGGGCGAAGCCTTCTGGGGAGCAGCTGCTGGCTGGCCACCCTCATCTCTCCAGTGAGGCCAGGGCACCCCAAGGGGACCCTGTCCCGCAGAGAGCAGCCCGTGGGGCGCCAGGACGCCCTGAGCTGGGCGGGTCTCCTCGAGGGGCAAGGCCTTAGGGAGCGAGCCCAGGCCAGCATCCTGCTCAGGCTTCCAGGCCCTAGTCCCCGGGGCTGGCAGCTGGAGAGGAAGGGCGTTAGGGCCGGGAAGCGACGGCCTGACTACGCTCAGCCACGGCCACCGTTGCCACTGCTGCCACCCCCGCTGGGCAGGTGGGGTAGTGATCCAGAGTGTGGCCTGTCCTTCATCACCAGGCCAGCCCTCCCCTAGGCAGAGGGCCACGCACCAGGAGCCAGCCCAGGCAGTCTCTGTTCCAGCCTCCAGAGAAACCGAGGCACAGCCAGAACACCTGAGTCCAAATTCTCACAGGCCAGGCGGCAGCGAATCTGGTCTGGGCCAGGAAGGGAGCCAGGAACGTGGGAATGTGGGGAGCCAGAGCTTCCGATGACCGTCAGACAAGCGAGCACACCAAGCCTGGGGCCACCCAGCAACGAAGCCAGCCTCGCCGGGAAGGGCTCTCAGGGGGAGACAGCATCTGGGCCAGGGACATGGGCTGGACGACGGGCTGGACAGGAGCAGCCACGGGGAGGGCCACCGGGGCCCACGCCTGGAGCACTGTAGACAGACACCCAGCGGCCACCCCAGGAGGGACCCAGACCAGGGAGGGCTGCCTATCCCGCTGTCCCTGCAGGCGGCCAGAGCCCGGCCAGCGCTGACTGCCACACTCGCCCGTAGCTGCTGTCTCTGCCTGCTCACCGCGGGTACCCGCAGTGGAGCCTCCTTTTCTGCTGACCCGCGGGCTGCCCCACACGTTTGGAAAGCCTGTCTGGGGAGCCTGCTCAAGAACGCTGAGCCCCGGGCTGGCACCCAGGAGTCTGCATAAAGACTCTCCACAGTGGACCCTGCCACAGGCAGTCCTTTGCCCACTCTGGGGACAGGCCTCCATGATCCCCCAGACTCCCTTGAACCCCACACCACAGCCTCTCATGGACCCCTTCCCTCCCCTGTGGCTCTCCGGAGGCTCCATCCAGCTCGGGCCTCCTGTCCCCACTGTCCACGTCCATTCCTCAGCCAGCCACCGAGGGCCCAGCCAGCACTGCTCACCCCTCAGGCTCACAGAGACCAAGGGGTCCACTGTCCACCCTGAGGGTGAGGGGCTGGGGTAGACCCCCAGGCAGGCAGGACTCCGCCCCAGAGCTGGGCCGCCAACTCCTCAGGGTGGCAGGGCGCAGGATGCAGAGGTACAGTCTCTGACGGGCCGGCGAAGGGGGAGCAGGCCTGTGGTTCCAGACACCGAGGGCAGGAAGAAAGCTGTTCTTGCTGGTGGGCAGTGGGTTTCAGGAAGGGGGTGCAAGGAGCATGGACCCCAGTCTACAGCACCCCAAACTGCTTCTGGACATGGGAGAGTCTGCCGCTAGGGTGTCCCAGGAAGCTGCACTCGCCCCGGGCACAGGGACAGGCTGAGGAACCCAGCCCCAAACCCGGTGGCATTCCCGCGTGATGGGCAGTGCCTGAGTCAGACACCAAACACTGCCCTCAGCTGGCACACCAGGCCCTGTGTCCCCAGCCCGCAGCCCCAGAGCTGCCCAGTCTGTGGAGACCACACACCCCCTCCCTGCGCCAAGCACCCACGGGCTCCACAGCAGGCCACTAAGCCCAGGGACAACAGCCACCCTCGCTGGCCTGGCTCCATCCCCAGCAGCCTGTCGAGAGCCCTGGTTCCACCGCTCTGCTGGCCATGGTTTTGGGTGAACTAGACACACAGGCTCCAGTTCACACATCAAGGTCAGGAAGAAACACATCTCTCTGTTCTCACTGTCGTGACGGGAGGCACATCTGCCAGAGCTCCAGACTAGCTGAGCAGGCAGCAGGGGCCAACCCACCCGGCCAGTAGCCAGCACGCCCACAGGAGCTCGGGCGGGGAGGTGGCAGGGCCTGCTGAGTGCTCCTGGGAGTCATGCACGAAGCCCGCAGGTATGTCTGCTCTACCTGCCCATCACCCCGTCCATTGCATTCCACAGGCAGTGACCCTGGGGCCTCCTGGCTGTGCACATGTTGTGCGTGTGTGTGTGTGTGTGTGTGTGTGTGTGTGTGTGCGGGGGGCGGGGGGCCCATGTGTGCTGGGGGGCCCATGTGGGAGCCCAGGGCCACCTCACTTTTCTGGCAGAACCTCTGGGGCAGTGGGAGCTCTGTGCCCAAAGTCCTCGAGAGCTGACGTGTGTCTGTCTTGGGGACAAGGGGCCACTCAGCTACAGCCTCCCACCAGTCCTCGCCCAGGAGGCCTGACGCGTGAGAGCTGGCCTGGCCCCCTGCTCCCCGCTCCAGCAAGTATGTCCGTCATGCCACTTCCGGAGAACGCACCTGGAGCCCACAAGTCCTGGGAAGGCCCAGGTCACCCGAAGGCTCTTCCACCGCCGACACCTGGCCTGCCCCTCAGTGCCAGGCTCCAGCAAATGCATGGCTTGGCAAGTGCCTACCAGAAGCTGCCCTCGTTCCCAGGCAGGGCTGGTCCCTGCACACTGAGAGGCCTCCCCTGGTGGCATGCTGTTCCCTGTCCCCACCTCCCATTGGGCCTGCACCTGGGCTCCCGCTCTGTGTAAGGCTCCTAAGGTGTCCCCGGGCACCAACTGGGAATCACTGAGGGTCCCGGACAGGTCTCCAGGACAGGAAGGGGAGAGCTCGGGGAGAGGCCAGGGTCCCCCCCTCCCCCCGCCCCCGGCAGGCTGGCCCCGCCTTTCTGCAGGTGCCCTTGGCTGATGTCCTGCCCCAGGCGCAGAGCCCACCTAGCCCAGCTGCGCGGCAAGAAGCTGTCTGGAAAGGACCCCGCGACCCGCCCACCACCCGGTGCCCACCCCGGCGGGACTCACGGCGGGGGCGTCGGTCGACGTGTAGCGCAGGATGACCTGGAAGGGCTGGTGCGCCTGCA